TGTATATATATATATATATATGAAAACATTAGCCTTGAATGTCGTGGTTAATTGTTTGTCCTATAGCTGCTGATTATCTGGATATACTTTGTAATATTCTCTAGGTTTTCAGTTATGCGTAAGCCAATTTTTAAAAAAAAATATTTTTGCTTTATTCGGAACTATCAGTATATTTTTAATAGGAATTCGATATGCTTCGGCGTATAAGGTAATGAAAGGATTGATCACCGAGTTTTCGACATTAAAATGTATAGGCCTACGAAGTTTAATTTTTAAGTTTATGTTCACAACGTTGGATTAACAATTTATTTGCTTCCTTCCTTCTCGTTCTCTTATTTAATGCTATTGTGAGGCCTCCATTTCTCACTACTAAAAATAGCTGAGCTAAAAACCCTGTATAGACCGCGACCATACAAAAGGCCACCCACCCTGGTCTTCATACCTTCACCTAAAACCCCTGTAGCTTATTTGCATTTCCGAATTTGGAGGCAGCCAAAAATCATCTTTTATATTCGTCATGAGAGATGATTGATAGTTATACTGCTATCTGACCATTACATATATGAGTATTCGGCCTTCTTACATAAATGGCTCTTCTTATATCTGCTCACGCATGCATTATTGTCTACATTTTTATCATGTTCATTCAGACATCACTCGATGGGTGCCCCGATCCTTGCCAGTTCAGATGACCAGGACCTACGTCTACCCGCCTTACAGGAAAACAGCTCCGCTCTCCTAATCGGTGACGAGGTCGTTGTAGCAACCTCTGTATCCTCATCCGATGAGCTAATCAGGGCATTACGTTGCCAAGTCCGTCAGCTAGAGGAGGCACAAGAACGTAGCTCCCGCTTGAACAACTGGCTCCTGGCAAGTCTGGGCGTTCTGTTGGCCTTCCGATTTTTCAGATCCTTAATCTAATGAGAGCATGTACTGTCCTTTAGTCTTCCAAACCTCATCAATTATGCTTCTGGCCTCTGAATCCATCGTATCTCACCTATTTTTATCTATACCTCATTGTCTATCATCTTTGGGCTGTACGTTAATGCCTATTGCTTGCTAACAGTTTTTTGGCAATCTACACGCTGAACTTTCTGCGTCATGTTCATGATTGGGCTGTTTTACAGCTGATTTTTCTTCTACCAAACTAGATGGTTTCAGACCAATATTTTTCGTTCTAAATTCGTTGTACAGCACTCTTTCTTGCCTAGATTAAGTTGTTTAAATTTGGATAGTGCCAAT